AATAAAACAAGAGTTTAAATAAATTCAAACTTATGAAAAGAAATAAATTGCGAACAATAACCAAATCTCCACTCAAAATCCCACAACCTTGATGAGAATGCTGCTTGTGTAAGAACCTGTGGTCAATCTGCTCCCCAATATTACAAATGTAAAAATTGGACCGTCACAAGGTCATTGAAAGGCGAAGGCCATGAAAAAAGAAAGACATATAAAGCACGCAATCAGCAAAGCTGAGTATATACAAGCTGCGAAATAAATTAAGAAATACCTAACATGCTACTAATAACACTAGTAGAATAATACAATAAGGCACCCCCATGAAGGCACCGGTTCAGGCCAAACCGGTGTCCTAAACCGGCCCAAATTTGGGCGCCATTTTACAAAAATATAAAAGGCACCGGTTCAGACCAAACCGGTGCCAAAAACTAAAAGGGCACCGGTTTGAACCGGTGCCAATTGAACCGGTCCTTAATTTAAAAAATAAACCGCTTAAACTTTATTATTAAAAAAAAAACCCCGCCCATATAAACCCCCCAACCCTATTTCTCATTCTCAATAGCCGCTTCTATCTTCTCCTATTTCCTTCTCTTTCTCTCTCCTCTTTCCTTCTTGCTCACCAGTCTTTCTCATCTCCTCCTTCCCTTTCTCATCTCCTCCTTCTCCCTCAAGACTACCACGTCTCCTTCTCCTTCAAGCCCACCACGAAGACCACCACAGAGACCACCACGAACACCACCACGGAGACCACCACGAGCACATGCAACACCATGAACACGCATCCTTTTCCCTCAATTTCTGGGTTTTTTTTTTCCGATTTCACTTTAGGTTTATTTTTTGCGATTTTGATTTTTTTTTGTCGATTTATGGTTTTTTTAACTCGATTTTAATAGATTTATTTTTTTCGATTTTGATTTTCTTTTTCGATTTCTGGGTTTTTATTTCGATAGCAATTTCGATTTTTTTGTTTTCGATTTCTGGGTTATTTTTTTTCCGAATTCAATTTTGATTTTTTTTTTTTCTGATTTTTGTTTCTTGTTTATTCGATTTTAATACATTTTGTTTTCGATTTTGAATTTTTGTTTTTCGATTTTTGGGTTATTTTTTTTCCGATTTCAATTTTGATTTTTTTTTCGATTTTTGTTTATTCGATTTTAATATATTTTTTTTCGATTTTGATTTTTTATTTTTCGATTTCTGGATTATATTTTTTCTTATGTTTGATTTTGAATTTTTTTTATTTTTGTTTTTGTTTATTCGATTAAAATATATTTTGTTTTCGATTTTGATTTTTTGTTTTTTCGATTTCTGGGTTTTTTAATTTTTATTTTTTATCTGGGTTTTTTCGATTTCAATTTATTTCCATTTCTGGGGTTTTTTTGATTTCTGGGTATTTTTCGATTTAATTTTTTGACAATTTCAATTTTTTTTACTGGGTTTGAATCTTAATTTTTTTTCGAAGCTTAATTATATTAATCGTTTTTTTTTCTTTAATTGGTGCAGGTATCTTGAGTTAGATCTTAAATGGAAGAATCAAGATGCAAGAATATTGAGTTTAATTTTTTTATTTATATTGTAATTTTTTTTATATGTTGTAATTGAACTACTATATTGATCTATATTGTAAATTTTTTTATATTATATATTGTAAATTTTTTATTATATTGATTGAAATTCGATCTATATTTTGATGTTCTAAATAATTTTAGTCGATTTTTAATTTTTTGATGTTTGATGTTTGATGTTAAATTTTGATATTTGATGTTCTACAATATATATATATATATATATATATATATATATATATATATTTATATAATTTTTTGGCACTTTTGGCACCGGTTAACCGGTGCAAAAAACAATCCCATAGTTTTTTTAACCCATTTAACTGGTGCCAATTTCAAGTTTTGGCACCGGTTTGAACCGGTGCCTTTTTAAAACACTTTTTGGCACCCCCCACATTGGCACCGGTTCAAACTGGTGACTTAGGCCGGGTTGAAACGGTGCCAAATTCATTTTTTCACGTAGTGTAATCAAGCATAAGTATCATTAAATTATAGACTCAACACATGACTCAACCATCAAATTTATTAAGACTTCACTAGTTAATATTAACTAACTCATTTATTTATTTCATTGGATTTAGTAATAGACAAGGTTGTCCAACCCATGCTCCATTTGGAACATCAAGAAAAACCCCATGCCTCCTTCCGAAAACATCAATAAACATCTAACGACCACGGGCGCGACTCTGTGACCGTAGTTAGTATGAGATCTCACCTAACTCCTAGTTTTAAAAGAAAATATTTGAAATAGGAGACTCGTAGATCAGACGGCCTCGATAAAAGTACACGACTAATACCCCATGTACCCCAACCCCTGATTGTCATTACTCCAGATGTGCACCAATCTAGAGTTTTATTGCTCATCCATCTTGCACTTTACGTGATTTATAGGTTTAGACTTGGTGATGACTCATATGCAAACAATACAATCAATCCAATATCAATTCAATCAAGTAAAACAACTTTCCAATTTCAATTCTTGAGTTATTAGTGACAAGCAACATTTATTATTTATTCCTTTAACTACCTCGGTGTATAAACATTTTGAGTGCATAAGGCACCCCAAAATCTTAACCTCGTCTTATAAGACTTGAATTCTTCCGTTACTCATCCTATTTCAATAATCATGAATGAGTAATAAAATAAATCATTCCACATATTCACATACCTTTGCCTCTCAGCACATCTTGCAAAGTTAATGCATAAATAATACTTACAAGTTAAATTAATACACAATCCTCATACTTGAATCAAAACCAACTGTCACATCAAACATTAATCACAATTACTACCATACAATTTCAACCAATCCACAAGCTCCTAACATGATTCTAAGTTTTCCAAGTCCTTAAACATGCTCCTAATAGTCAAGGTTTTTGTATCCTTGTACGTACCTTGAGCAAACGAATTGGTATGCCACTTTACTATCTATAAATCACCTTCAATAAACTCCTCTCCTAAACCAAACAATAACATCTCAATCTATCAATACCCAATCAATCAAATTTATAGCAATATTAACTTACTTTAAAACCTTTAAAATCCAAATCAAACAACACTTTAAAACCTTCTCTTTAGTTAAAATTAAAGGCTTATATATAGTTCTTTAAATTTTCTTCATAAAAACCTTAAAATGCACTCTTATACATGAAATTACAGCAATTTCAAAGTTTAATGAAAATCTGAAATTATTTAAAAACCCCTAATAATCTCCCTTTTTAATGGGTGATTAAACCCTCTTTATAAAACATCAAAAGTAGTATTTAGAAACTATTTCCAACACTTAGAAATTCAATAAAAACATATATTTATGCTTAATTAAATTTAAACATAATTAATTTTATTAATCAAACTCAAGGGTAATATTTTAAGTATAAAAAAAACTTCGTTAAAATCGGAAACTGCCCGAAAATCATATTTAGAGGCAATTTGGCCACGAGTGGGTGGTGCTCACTACCAAAGGTAGTGAGTCTTTCTTAAAACGCTGTTTCCACATGGAAAACACTACTTTGTTTTTTGTCAAAATCGGATGAGTTCAGAACCTGATTGGGATTAAAACGGGATTAATATTAACAAACGGAAATCTAAAAATTAAAACACGGATTTACGTTTTCAAAATAATCTGGAATTAAGTTAAAATAATCAATAGTTATAATCACCAAAATTTCAAAACATCATTACTATAAAAGCCCTAAATCAATTGTTCATAAAAACCCTAAAATCATGATTTTCAATAATTAAAAACCCTATGTTATGAAATTTACATAACCTGAAAATTATGACATTTATAAAATTTGAAATTATAAAGTTTAATCATCAAAATACAACTTGATGCTAATTAAATTAATTTCAAACAATAAAATCAAAACCCATAAATCAATAATTATAATTATACAAACTAATAAAACAAAGGAGAAAATAAGACTAACCTTTTTGTGTGGGAAAATTTTGGGGATTAATGGGGTATTTATAGGGGAGAATGTTGTAGGGTAAGTAGAAAGATTGAGCCTCATAAAAATAATGGGTCAATTAAGTAAACAAATGGGTTAGGCTTGTTTGATTGGACTTAAATTATAGAATAAATGTGCATAAAATAATTTGTTCAAATAATTTTCGACCCAAATTAATAATTTGAAACTTTTGAAATTAAATTTCGGAAAAATAAAAAAATAAATATTATAAATAAAATAAAATTTCATTTATAAAATATTTAAAAAATACGGGGGATTATAGTAAATGTGAAGAGGCCCCTAGTATGTAATTTTTTTTTGGGTGTTTAGAGAGCCACAAGGGCTGGGGTGAGAATCGATCTCAGGATCTACTGAAATCGGGAAGGAAGCTCTAACCAGTAACCACTTGAGCTATTCCTCGCTCTCACCTATGCTAGTATGTAAGGGTTTGTAAATAAACTTCAAGTTGCTTAAATAGGTTTGGTTTGGATCTATTGTGGCTTAGTTTAAGACAAACTTTTGGGTCAAATTATCTTTTGACTCTTTTGTAAGTGATCCGTGTTATTATTCATGGTAAGTCTCTCTATTTTCCTGGAGAAAAATCATGAGTAGGGGTGTTTATAAATCGGACCGAAAAAATGGATCGGACCACCCCGAATCGGACCGAACCGAATTAATTGGTCCGGTTTTCAGGTCTTGAAATTCATTTTTCCGGTCTTCGGCCCGGTCTGGTCCAAAAACCCTATAAAACCGGTTTGGACCGGATTAATTTTTTATTAAAAATATGTGTGAAACCTTAAATAATAGTTAAAATTATCTTTAATAAGTTTAGAAAACTTTAACATTATCAGTTTTTTTGTACTAAGTATACAAAAAAGGCGTAAAAATGACGTTATAATATATTTTTTCCTTTACTTTTTTTGTGTTCACCATAACTTTATTAAAAAAATTAGTATTTTATTAAAAAAAATTCTTAAATCGGTGTAAAGCGGTCCGGTCTGGATTTTGGACCGATCTTTTCGGTCCAGTCTGGGTTCGGTTCTAGCTTAATTGGTCCGATTTTCGGTTCTTAAAATTCTAATTTTTGGTCTTTGATCCGGTCCGGTCTTGGACCGATATTCATGAGTATTTATCTAGCTAGTTTACAATATTTTTAAATCACAGCTAGTCAGCTACACTTTTTAAATAGACAAATGACAAAACTACCCCTATATAAAAGAAAAAAATGACAAAAATACCCTTGACTTAGATGCCTCTCTTTTTCAATACCCCTCTTTGGAGTTTTTCACGTTTGTGCTTAGTTCCCGCTGCACCACCTCTCCCTCTCATGCTCTCCCAGTCTCCCTCCTCCATTGAAGCGTACTCTAATTCCTCCATTGAAGCGTCTTGTGAGCTGTCTTTTCTCCATTAAAGCACTTCCTTAGGTAAAATGTTTTTCTTCTTCATTTTAATCATTGAGTATCAATTTCACATTAATTATCAGCATTTTCAATTTCGGCTACTATGAATTTTTCGTTGAACTATTCGTTATAATTACTATTGAACTATTGTCAGTATAGTCGATTTAGGGTTCTTCTAGTTCTAAGGTGGACTATTGAACTATTCGTTATAATTACTCAAGATTATAACAAGCGATTTTGTTGCTAGCATTTTTCAATGTGCATACCTTGATATTCTTAAACGAGAAGAATTTCTTTGCGATTTTTTGTGCCTAATTTTGATACTTGAATTAAATGTGGTTGCTAAATCCATAAAATTATTAAAACTCCTCTTATTCGTCCAGCAAATTTTCGAGAATTTCGGTGACATTATCTGTTTTAGTGTTGTTTTGCTGCAATTGATAATTGATTTGACCAAGATCACTCTTGCTCACCTTCTGCAGTGCTGCTGCTTCATTATCGACTACTGCGAAAAGCTATGGCAATCGATTGTCTTATACTTGGTAATCTCATTCTTCACTTACACAGTCACACTATATGAGTTAATTCTTTGCTATTTTACTACTACGTCCGTTTCAATTTATTTGCAACAATGTGATGTTTACCAACATTTAGGTGAATTTGTTTTTGAGTGTTAAATGGTGAGCGAAAAATAAAGTTGTATGTGATGAGGAGCCATATAGAAACAAGTGACAAGTAAAAAAAGGAAAGAAAACATTTGTTGCAAATAATTTGTAGTATCCATTTATGGTAAATGTTGCAAATAAATTGAAATGTAGGTAGTATTTTGATCAATTAGTTAATTGTTGTTGTTAATCTCTAATTAGGTGCTGGGCAAGAAGTTGGGAAAAGCTGTGTTATAGTCAATATCAATGGCAAAAAAATCATGTTTGATTGTGGAATGCATATGGGTTATCGCGACCTTCAACGTTACCCTGATTTCTCTCTTCTCTCCAAGTCGGGTCATTTTGATGATATTCTCTCCTGCGTAATTATTACTCATGCGTATGCCCTTTATCTGTAATTGCTTATATATGTGGTTGTTTTGTTGTTGCTTATGGTTTTGAAATCGAGTTTTGTCTATGTTATTCCGACTTTTCATTTCAGCTTAGTCATTCCCGTGTTAGATATTGGACACTCTCAGATATGATATATTGGTAGTGTGACATTGGGGCACTTTATTTTAGACAAAAATCATGCAGAAATTATATTTAATGGCCGTGTTTGATACTTGTGTGCGAACAATAGGGTATAGTAGGATGGCTTTGGCATATAGGAAGAAGTGACCCTTTGATGGAATATTTAGATGGATATGACTGTATAAATTGATAAACATTTAGACTTTTATTGTCATTGAAAATGATATTAATCTATGTATCTAGTAATCTAGATAGTAGGATTATTATTGCTTCATGTATGGATTATTTGCTTCAAATTGTATATGTTATATTATTGCTTGACTCTTTTTTTTTTTTTTTTTTTTTCTTTTTTTTGTATGGATTTTGTAGTCATTCGGATCATATTGGAGCACTTCCTTACTTCACTGAAGTTTGTGGGTTTTCAGGACCTATTTATATGACGGTATGCCAAGAACAATAAAACTATTATACTGAATTACATTCTACTGGTTTTGTTCTTGAGATTATCCTAGCAATATAAATCACCCTCTCATGGGGTTTTGTTTACATGGTCTCTCTCATTCCCCCTTGTATACAATTGATAATTATTTCATGAGTTGTGTAAATCTTTTGTCTCATAGGAGAGGAGAATAATCCAAGTGGAATTATTTTGAGAAGCCTTCTTAACACTCAACTATCATAATTAGTGGAAAGAACTCCATAAAATATCTGGTTCTTGCAACATGTCTTTACTGAGATTCGAAGTAAAATTCTCCTAATGTTTTGGTGACTATATCTACATATGTAACACTTCTTAGGAAAATCTGGCCATTCGCATGGCCTTTTTGTACTACCCTAGAGTTTTGATGCCAATTTATACTGTTACGAATTGTCATTTTCTTGCCAACAATAAAAACGACCATACATGGACTAGTTTGTGCTTGATGAGTTATCTATGACATGCTTTTATTGCTAATTGCAAGAAGGATAATTTGTTGGTAATAGGTAGCTGTATTTCATTCACTTCAGGTTTTGAAAATTTTGGAACTTCATTGGTTAATATAAAATCCCAACCTCAAGCTATGCAAAATGAAATATATGACCTTTTTTTTTTTTTTTTTTTTTTTTGAAGGGAAAATGAAATATATGACTCTTTGTATGTAGATATTTTTGTCCCTTTTCTTACCTCTTGTCCTTTTGCTCTTATGGGGTTTTATTTCATCCTATGTACCCCATTCTTTCCCTCTATTACTCATTGATAATTTGTTCTCTATGAAAATGCTTGCCTTACAGCATCCGACAAAAGCATTGGCTCCTCAAATGTTGGAGGAGAGTTGTAAACGTATGGTTGATCAAGAGGCTGATGTAGGGCAATTTACTCCAGAACATGTCAAGTCCTGTATGGAGAAAGGTACTTTAAGTCACTATTGACAACATTATAGAGTTTAACATACAAATAGCGACTGCCTTTTGTACTTTTCACCTCTTGGGACCTGTTTTTTTTTTAAAAAAAAACTCTATGGGTCCTTAAGTTATATTGCTAGAAATGTTGGTATAATTCTTGAATTAAGCTGTAGTTTTATGTGGTCCTTAGCTTTCATATGCTTCTGACAAAAAAAATCTTGTTGCAACAGAGAAGCAACTGTGAATTATGATGCTGTTGTTCTTTATCCTGCTCTTGTTTTCAAGCTTTATAGTTTCGTATTCATTGTGGCTCAGTTTGTGTCATTGAATTCTGATTGCATCATCATTCTTAATATATATAAGATGGTGTGAAAATCTGTCAAATGTGGCTCTTTCTCCTAGCTTGGATGAAGTTTGCTTTATCATTCAGCCGCACAAACAAGGTTCGCAATTAATACCATCCTACGTAATTTTATGTTTATGTGGCCTACTTCCTCCGGTTCGTATTAATCGCAACACTAGGGTGTTCACAAAGTTTAAGAAAATATATAGGGTGAGACCCAGAAGAGGATTTTTTATAATATAAAGTGTTATTGGTAGGAGAAAGAAATAATAAAAAAGTAGTATAAGTAGGGTTGGTAGGAAAGAGAAATATTAAAATATTTGTGAAACTGGGGTTAGTGGGAGAGAGAAATTATAAAATAATGGTAGGTCCTTTCCAAATATAAAAGTGTTGCAATTAATATGAAACAAAGATAAAAGGAAAGTTTTGCGATATATACGAAACGGAGGGAGTAATTGATCACAAAAATGAGATGTCAAGATCAATATTCCTAGCCCTTTTTGGTATTTTTTGCTAATGTTATATACTAGTTATTTAATGCCATCCTGCAAAGCACGTATTATTGGTATTTGGTTTTAATGCCATCCTGCAAAGAACATATAGACCATGGTGAAATTCAAAAAAGTAATACCAATTACTAAAAGAGTTAAGAATATTGATTGGATATCACATATGTGTGACATTGTTAATTATGCCATATAAACATAAAACTCATGCGTTCTTGAATATTTTGACTTACAGCCAATTTATAATTGTGAATCTTGTTTGTTTGGCAAAATGACAAAGCTACTTTTTTTCACCAAGTTAGGAGAAAAACAAGTGAGCTACTAGGCTTAATACATAGAGACGTTTATGGCCTTATGAGCTCCATTACTAGAGGTTGTTTGACTGTTTCTACTATTTCATCACGTTTACTGGTGAAGTTAGTAGATGGTGGCTATGTCTACCTAATGTCAAATTAATCTACTTTGTCAAGCTCTAAGAATTATAAAATGAAGTAGAGAATGAACTTGGCAAGAATATTATGATCGTGGGTTGAATATCTAAGCCATGAATTCGATGATCATGTGATAGAATACAATATATTTCTAAATTTGACACACTATGGGATGCCTTAATGTAATGGATTGTTCAAGAGGAATATAACTCTATTAAATATGGTTTGGTCAATGATGTGTACTCTTGCTGAATCATGTTCCGTTAAAAGTTGTTGAAAAGACTTCATATGAATTATAGACAGGGAAATCTCTTAGGTTATCTTTTCTAACGGTGTATTTGGATAAGGAAATGGGAAAGAAAAAAAGGGGAGGGGAGTGAAAGAGAGGGAAGAAAGATGAGTTTTCCTTCTAAATCTCTCAATTGTTGGAGAGATCAATTTTTTACTATTAAATCCCTCCATTTCTCTCCCCTCCAATTCCCTTCCTTCCTTATTTGTTATCCAAATGAAAGATAATCCATCCCTTCTCTCCATTTCCTTCAATCCAAACAAAGTGTAAAGGTTTGGGGTTGCAAGTTTATGTCAAGACACTTATGTTTCACAAACTTGCAGCAAAGTTTGACAAGTTACTTTTTGTGGGCTATCCATAAAGGACAAAAGGGTATTACTTCTGCAACTAATATGAGGATAAAGTCTTTGTTGTCTTTTCTAAAGATTTGGGTTTGTGAAGTTTATGTCAAGAGACTTATGTCTGATAAATATGCATCAAAGTCTGACAAATGTTTTCTTGTAAGCTATCATAAGAGACACGGTTGTTACTTTTATAACCAACCTGAGCACTCTTTGTTGCTCAAGATAGTGTCCATCTTCTTATGTGCTTTATACATGGTAACTTAAAGATTTTTCTTGAAAGCTAAAACTTTAATAGGGTAATGGTCATTGTCAAATTATTCCTTTGGTACCTTTTGGTTTCATTTGGATCAGCAAGATGATTTATGCTTTGAGAATGAAAGAAAGAAACAAACACAACTGGAAAGTTACTAAAGAATGTGGTTTCATGATGCCACCTTATTGTTTTATTACCATTGTCTTGACCTGTTGACAACACCTTAATTTAATTTTATTGTTCGCGTAAGTTAAAATTCCATCTTTAAAGCAAGCTCTGTGTGTGCAAATACAAATTAGAACTATGCAGGTTAGTGGCAGCCATGATCTTGTACTTATGTTATTGAATCTTGTTACTTACCAGGATTAATTACATTTGTTGGATTTTTTGGGTTATGTTTCACCATCTGTAAGTTCCAAATGATAGAAAGTTAGCAAGTTTAACAAGTATAACTTCTGCTATATCTTTGCAGTTATAGCAGTCGACTTGAAGCAAACTATCTGGGTTGATGAAGATCTTGAAATTCGTGCCTACTATGCTGGTCATGTGAGAATTTAATCTATCCTTTTGCCTATTTGAAATTATGGAGTAATAAATATAGTAAGGTTAGTCTTTTTTATTCATATGTATAGGTTATGTTTTGCTCAACGTAAATTAGGTGATGATATTTACTTTTTACCCTGTATGTGCTATGTTTAGAGATGGAGGGATCATGATGCATTAACTTTTAAGGTCTGATATGAATGTATTTAGTGTGGTCTAATGTGATATGAAATTAGTAATTAAGTCCTGAAAGAAAGTGAAGTAAATATTACTTATTTGTCAAGACAGACATATGGCGTCATTCCTTTATGTTATTACTTAATGCTTCAAGTTTTGTAATATTAATTTGACTAAAACCATTTTTGTAGTTTTAGACTGTTAGTTCCTGTTTATAGGTAATTCAAGCCACGTATATGTCCACTTGGAGAAGAGTTTTTGTTTGAGACACGGGTGAGATAAGGTTTGACACAGCAATCTGTTGGTCAAATAGATCTTTAAAAGCTTTTGGGTGATACAAGCATTGATTTGTTATGATCATTAAAAAAAAGCTTTTCTTTTTGCTTTCCTTTTTCTTTCTTTTATTATTTTTATTATGGTGTAAAGCCCTTTTGATATGATCATATGGTGTAAAGCCCTTTTGATATGATAGATGATTGGGAAATTTGCTTAGCTTCTTGACGCGGAGGAGGGGTTCAATGAAAGGCTCAAAGAAGACGTAGGATTTAGAAGGATAAGAACCCTTCATCTTAGCTGTGGCTTGGACATTGTGTTTTTTATAGTTTAACTGAAACTTTAGTTTGTCCTCATTGCCTCTATGATGTCTTCTCATTCCTGTGCCTGTAATTGCCTTCTGTCAAGAGTTTTATTGCCCCTGCCAGATTTGTTGATTGTCACACCGTACATCACGACTTGATCGTATCAAATTTTACTTGATCATCCGACGATTCATGAGAACTCTGGTGCACTGATGCATTTTTCAGGTGTTGGCTCTTTCAATTGGTTTAAAAAAACTCTTCTGCACCTGTATTCTGTGTCTTAACAACCCGAAATCAAATATTTGCACAATTTGTATTTATTAAATCCGGGTGCTCTTGACTGTACTGCTACTGAAATAAAGTGTCTTACTTTGAATGTTTCCAATTGTTGCCTTGATTTACTTCCCTTCATTCGAATTATTACTTTGAGCTTAGACCCCCCACATTTTGCTCTTCAATTCCTGACATATAATAGAATTCCTAGGTTATTGGTGCTGCAATGTTTTATGCAAGGGTGGGAGATAAAGCGATTGTCTACACAGGGGACTATAATATGACGCCTGATAGACTTCTTGGTGCTGCTCAAATTGATCGTTTGCAGTTGGATCTTGTCATAACCGAGTGAGAATCTTTTGAGTTTGTTGCAGAGTTTGTTGCATTTACTGTCATTTTATATATTAAAGTTTTTGTGTGAAATCTGATGTTTGTTTAAACTTTTGAGAATTGAAAAAATGTAACACCCCAATAATTCTCTCTTAAAACCTGTAAATACCATGAACAAAATCCAAGAGAATTAGTGGAGTGCTACCGCCACGTGTTCAAATGTTAAGGCTTTATTAGGAAATAGCAGCGGAAAAACTAACTCAGTTATAAATAAGTTTCAAAACCAATAAACAAAACCAAATTAAATCTTACAACTTGGAACCACTAAGGCCCTTATTCAAAACCCAAAATAATAAAAGTGATAGGTAAATGAAACCGAGTCTAAATTAATTCAAAAGAAAGAAATAAAGTAAACTGTGAATGGTAATCAACACTCCACTCAAAATCCCACTACCTTGATGCAAATTCTGAACATGTAAAAACCCGTGGTTAATCTGCTCCCCAATATTACAAGTGTAAAAATTGGATCGTCACAGGGTCATTGAAAGGCAAAGGCCATGACCAAAGAAAGACACACAAAGCACGCAATCAGCAAAGCTAAGTACATACAAGCTGCAAAACATAAAAGAAATCCCTAACATGCTACTAATAATCAATCATCATGCATCATTAGTTTATAGACTCGACACATGACTCGACTATTTATATTACTAAGACTCCATTAATTAATAATAGGTAAATCATTACTTTTATTCATTGGATTACGCAATAGACAAGGTTGTCTAACCCATGCTCCATTTGGAATATCAATAAAAGAAATACCCCATGCCTCCTTTCGGAAACATCAATAAACATCCAACGACCACGGGCGCGACTCCGTGATCGTAGTTAGTATGAGATCTCACCTAACTTCTAGTTTTAAAAATATATTTGAAATAAGAGACTTGTAGATCAGACGGTCTCGAGAAAAGTACATGGCTAATACCCCGTGTACCCCTACCCCTGATTGTCATTACTCCAAAAGTGCACCAATCCAGAGTTTTATTGCTCATCCATCTTGCACTTTACGTGATTTACAGGTTTAGACTTGGTGATGACTCATATACAAACAATACAATCAATCCAATATCAATTCAATCAAGTAAAACAACTTTCCAATTTCAATTCTTGATTTATTAGTGACAAGCAACATTTATGATTTATTCCTTTAACTACCTCGGTGTATAAACACCTCGAGTGCATAAGGCACCCCAAAACCTTAACCTCGTCTTATAAGACTTGAATTCTTCCGTTACTTATCCTATTTCAATTAATCATGAATGAGTAATAAATAAATCATTCCACATATTCACATACCTTTGCCTCTAAGCGCATCTTGCAAAGTTAATGCATAAATAATACTTACAAGTTAAATTAATACACAATCCTCATACTTGAATCAAAACCAACTGTCACATCAAACATTAATCACAATTACTACCATACAATTTCAACCAATCCACAAGCTCCTAACATGATTCTAAGTTTTCCAAGTCCTTAAACATGCTCCTAAAGTCAAGGTTTTTGTATCCTTGTACGTACCTTGAGCAAACGAATTGGTATGCCACTTTACTAACTAGAAATCACCTTCATAAACTCCTCTCCTAAACCAAATGATAACATCTCAATCAATACCCAATCAATCAAATTTACAGCAATACTTACTTTAAAACCTTCAAAATCCAAATCAAACATCACTTTAAAACCTTCCCTTTAGTTAAAATTAAAGGCTTATATATAGTTCTTTAAATTTTCTTCATAAAAACCTTAAAATACACTCTTATACATGAAATTACAACAAGTTTAAAGTTTAATAAAAGTCTTAAAATTATTTAAAAACCCCTAATAATCTCCCTTTTTAATGGGTGATTAAACTCTCTTTATAAAACATCAAAATTAATATTTAGAAACTATTTCCAGCACTTAAACTTCCTTAATTTTATTAATAAAACTCAAGGATAATATTTTAAGTATAAAAAAACTTCGTTAAAATCAAAAACAGCCCGAAAATCATATTTAGAGGCTGAATTTGGCCACGAGAGGGTGGTGCTCACTACCAAAGGTAGTGAGTCTTTCTTAAAACGTTGTTTCCACATGGAAAACACCACTTTTTTTTTTTTGTCAAAATCGAATGAGTTCAGAACCTGATCGGGATTAATATTAACGAACGGAAATCTAAAAATTAAAACACGAATTTACGTGTTCAAAATAATCTGGAATTAAGTTAAAATAATCAGTAGTTATAATCACCAAAATTTCAAAACATCATTACTATAAAAGCCCTAAATCAATTGTTCATAAAAACCTTAAAATCATGATTTTCAATAATTAAGAACCCTAGGTTATAAAATTTACAAAATCTGAAAATTATGACATTTATAAAATCTGAAATTATAAAGTTTAATCATCAAAATACAACTTTATACTAATTAAATTACTTTCAAACAATAAAATTAAAACCCATAAATCAATAACTATAATTACACAAATTAATAAAACAAAGGAGAAAATAAGACTAACCTTTTTGTGTGGGAAATATTTGGGGATTCATGGGGTATTTATAAGAGAGAATTGTAGGGTAAATAGGAAGATTGGGCCTCATAAAAATAATGGGTCAATTAAGTAAACAAATGAGTTAGGCTTGTTTGATTGGACATAAATTGTAGAATAAAGGTGCATAAAATAATTTGTTCAACTAATTTTCGATCCAGATTAATAATTTGAAACTTTTGAAATTAAATTTCGGAAAATAAAAAAAATAAATATTATAAATAAAATAAAATTTTATTTATAAAATATTTTAAAAAAATACGGGGGATTACAAAAAAGGACAAGGTTGAATTCCATGATATATTTCTGATTTCGTAATGCATCTTAATGACTATCATGCCCTCATAAAGAAATAATAGTAACCGCTACCTTTTGTTATCAACTACATTATAGGACACTCTAAATAAGACATTTACATTCTTTTTTTTTTTTTTTTTTTTTTTTTGCCAATTTCGAGATCAATTTGGACCCTTAAGGGCTATATTGCTATAATGACCCAAAAACCTTACCCAAGCATTTTTTTGTGGCAAAAGAAAAGTAAGTTCATAAGACTATTTGCTTTTTTAGAAAAGTAAGTTCATAATACTAGGGAGTGATACAATTAAAAGTAAGTTCATAAGACTAGATAGTCCTCTTATTTGCTCTATCTCTTCCTCTTCCTTTGTCTCTTCCACAGTGGTCATAGTGTGGTTGTGGATGCTTTTTGTTTGGACAAGTGTTGGTTGGCATTATAGTTAGGTGGTGGTAAGTTGAGGTGGCAGTTGGTGGCGGGCATTTGGGGGTTTTGTCAGGAATTGAAGGTCAAATTGTGGGTGGGGGTGGGGGGATGGGGTGGGTTGTTAAGAAAGGAGGAAAAAGTGGAGTTTTGGGATCATTTATTGGGGCTGATTGGTGCTGGTGGTTGATCCGGTAGTATATTCACTTTCAATTGCGGGTTACAAGAGCTAGGAAGCTTACATCTGATATAGTGGGTATTAGGTCTGTTAGTAGAAGTCTTGTGCATTTGTTTCTGCTTGTTTGTTATGCATGTCTTATCTGATTATAGCACAAAGATTTCTCTTGCTGTTAAATCTAATGAAAGTAGTTTGATTTGAGGGAGGTAACACAATATTATTTTTCTGTTACAGGTCAACTTATGCTACAACAATACGTGGTTCTAAATTTGCTCATGAAAGAGAATTTCTCAAAGCTGTAAGTACATTTGCTCTATTCTCAAACATGGTAATGTCAGTCCCTTTCAATTCTTTTTTCTTTCAAAGATTTCAAGAAACTTGTGTGAGGCATAGTATTGTGAATATGACTCATGTTTCACTCTAAAAGATTACCCCAGTTTATTTATAGTTAACTCAATTCCATAAGCTCTTCTTACTTTATTTCTTACCTTGTATACAAAATTACCTACTTATTCAATACAAACCTAGAGCAACTCCAATGGTTGGGAAAAGGGACTAGCTTGCAAATATTAAAAATCTTAAGCTAGTAGCTACACCATTGTTGCACATCTTGTTGATTAGCTTTGGCAAGCAAATTAGCTTTGTAGAGCTAATTAACTTGGCAAATATTTATTAGATAAAAAATATTATTAATTTAAAAATAAATTAATTTACAACTAGCTTAACCATTAGAGCAACAAATAACTTGAATTGTTGTAGCTTAAGAAGATGATGTGGCATGCCAAGCTATTAAATAAATTAGCCAACCATTGTAGTTGCTCTAAAGTGACTGGGACATCAGAGCAGAACTCTTTTTTCCAAATTTAATACTTCATTGGAGTTCTGAGAAATGGTGCCAGATCTTAATAAGAGCATGCTGGAGCTCCATCGGGACAAAGCCCTTTATTGATACCTCTCAAATCGGGGTGGGCTTCGTCAACAAAGGGAGATAGTAGTATGTCATCGCCCCTGTTGCAGAATCTTTGAAGGATAAGATTCCTAGTGTTTTTAGCAGAAAGAAAATCCTAGTCCTTACCCAAATATTCCAAATTGAAGATCCATAGAAGAAATATTGTGATATGATGAACATACTTGGAGATAGTGCATTCTCGCCCTAGATTATTAACCCTTGATACCTTTTATCCAAACCTAGGCATATAAGCCTTGATCATGGATGTCTGCCTCCTTTATGTTTTGGTATGAAAGTTGTCTCCCTTAAAACAAGATGAATCCTCATACTTTCCTGCCCCCATGGAAAGTTGTTGCTAATTTTATCAAGTTCCTTTAGAGTTGCATTTTGTAAAAAGATTTTTGCATATAGTTGGGTGGGATGATGGAAAGTGTTAAATTAATTAGGCCCAAGCTACCTGCTTTGGAGAGGAAATTTGTTTTCCAAAGCAGCTAGGAGGTAACTTTGACTACAACAAATTGAGCTTTAGTTCTTGTGGATCCTTTTTGGGAGATGGGCATACCTAGGTGCAATTCTAAGTTCTTTGAAAAGGTTGTGGGTGTTCTTGAACATAGCAAATTCATCATCAAGAGATTTCCTTGAACAAAATTTTTCCCTTATACAGCTTTTGGTTAAAATTTCATGAAAGAGATTGACAACTCTTTAATGGTGAAGGCACTGTCTAGTGTCTACATCTACTCTTTCAAACTTCAAAGATAAGTAAATCATCAATAACAAGAGATGGGAAATAAGAATTCTGGAACATTTTTCCTACTTACCAAGAAAGGGTCCTCCTTTTTCTTCTTTTACGTGAGTTAGGGGCTTTAATTAAATATTGGGACACAAAGTCACCATGGCAAGGCCTCTTAAGTGCTCAAAAGGGTTTGTTTTCCTACTAGTAACAAACAAAGGATCATGCTTTAGCGATTGTCCATGATTGAGTTAACAGACTTTATCTAGATTATTATGAAAAAAGGCACTGCCTAATGGAATTCCGTCAAGCTTTTTCAAGATTGAATTATAGAGCAAACCGGCTAGTATTTCTTTTCTTCTTTTTCATGGAGACATGGAATGTAACACCTCAATGACAATTACAAGCTACAAGATTAATGTTCAGATCCCTTCCCTTAATGAAGCTGTTTGATCATTTTGAGATAAAAGGTTGGAGGAAGTGATTTTATCTTTGGACTAGGATTTATCTGCCAAGTTTGTAGATTGTGCCACAAAGACTACTCTGTCTTGAGTGTTTAATTGTTTCCAGGCATGGTTGCGTAAATTATGAAACATGTGGGTTTGGCACATATCTTTCAGTATATTTCTCATTGTAAATCAACTTTTGACATTAATACACACATTATCCTCAATGATATCCCACATTTTGTGAAAGAAGGAAAGCTGGAAAGAATGGAAACCATGAGGAGGGCAGGGCTTTAAGCGGCTTCATGCTTATCAAACCCTCCTCATCCAACCTAGGATTATTTTAGCTCCTATAACAATTATTGAATTAACAATAGAAGTATGTAATCTTCCCCATTAAAGATGGAGTATACAATTCTAGGTCGGTTGTATGTCATTAGAGGCTGGCTACTTTCGATCTATCTGCAAAGTCTAAGACTTCTTAAGTTCCTTAACACTAATAAGAAAGAGCCATGTTGATTGCCCCCTTCTTTTGATCACTTAGAATCTTTATAGATGTTTTCTGTCGGCGGGAAATGACTTGACATTAAGCTGCTTAAATTTATTATTTGTATCCGTATGTCCTGAGGTTTGGTAATCGACATTCAATGGAGAAATACGAAATATTTGACTATCTGCTAAGATCTGCTTACCATTGTTGCAGGTACATAAATGTGTTGATAAAGGGGGAAAAGTTCTTATCCCAACATTTGCTGTTGGGAGGACTCAGGTATTGTCACTACTTTATGACATCATTAGCCATTTCGACACCTTTACCTTCTGATTCTTAAAGTGGCATAATTTTTTTAAGGTCATTTATTTTGACATAGAGGTGCCGTTTTAGTGATACATCTGCATTGACTACTTTGTAAATTTCAATTTAAAATCAATAATGAACCTTCATTAAATTTGTAGTTTTTTCCCCTAGTATCCAATTTCATGCCCTTCCTTTGTTCATGATTTTAGTGATTATGGGTGTTAAACACGTGAAATTTGACAATCTTTGTTGATTTATAGAGCTCTATCATGGTGGATAAGCGTATCGGTTTTTAATTCCAACTACCATGGTTGTGGGGATGGTAAATGGCAGTATCGTGTAATTGGTAAAATTTTTGTAATCTCTTAATGGATAATTAAAAAAGCAAGGGACAGCTTGTTTTCCATTAGAATGAAAGACAGATTGCAGAAAAATTAAGTCACCATAGACTCTAAATTAGAAGCTTATGTCACTGGAGAAGGTGGCTGGAGGGATTTAGAGGGCTGGGCACAATAGGTTAACCGTACTGTTTAGCCTTAATGGTACGGTTAATCGTTATGTCGGCTACTCAAAAATGTGAACTGTAACCGTACCATTAAAGAACGGTTAACCGGTAGCGGTTAACCGTTCCTTAACGGTACGATTACAGGTTAACCACTATCCGTTTAATAAATTTAAACTCTACATTGTATTTGAATCAAAATTTTAAATTAAACAATAAAATTCATGTTTCAATTAAGAGTACACACCGATAAACCAAATACAATACAAATTTTAATTACTATGAGTAAGTTTTTTTTTAAAGCATAACAAGACATACAATCTAATGATATTATATGTAGTACATACTTAGCATCTTCAAATTAAGACCATGGTATATTGACAGACTAGCAACCTAGAAGTTCAAAATGCATCATTATATATTTTGCGTAAAAAATTAAATAAAAACATATATATTTATTTTAATGGTTAACCGTTTGCTTAAAATTGTAATCGTAATTGTAATCGTTAACCGATATATTTAGCGGTCGGTTAACCGTAACCGTTTAATTTAAACGGTTCGGTAAATTAACCGTTTAAACGAGCCGGTTATACCGGTTAATGGTTACGGGTTTTTTGCCCACCCCTAAATTTAGAAGCCTTAAAATTGTACCAAGTCTCTCTTACAAGCAGGGGAAAAATCCCCAATGTCTTGACTGTTCTTGTGGATCTTAACATCAAATTTTGATCTAAAGCTAGAAATTTCTTAGTCCAATTTCTCAATGCCTAGTACGACCCATATCTCATCTCCGCACATGGGTCGAGTCATGTAGACAGGAGTATGCTGGGGTGAAGTGGCAAGTCCAGCATCACAACCATCTTTCATAGCCAAAATGTCATTGAACACTTTTAAAATCTTTGCGATTTTCTCCTTATCTCTATGTAGAATTGTAGATCTACAAATAGCTTCTTTGATGTTTTCTCCTCTCCAACAAAAAGTATCCCTCCCTCCTCCCGGACTCCCTGTCACCATTGCCTGTTTCAAAGTGTTGCAAATCTTTCCCATATATATTTCATGTAATCCAATGAGTGGATTTGAAGTAATCGCTTCTGCATTGGTTAGTCCAAATATTGTCATGCATACTTAATAATCTTTTAGATTAAAAAGGTTTTAGCTTAGATGAAATTAAGTTTCATTATGGCCTTTTATTTTATTGTCTAAAGAATAAACCCAAAATGCCATTACACCTGGCATACATGTCACCATCTAATTTGGAGTATACTAGAAATGATATGTTCTCTGAGCCTCAACATATTCTCCATTCAATTTGCTGGAATTTTTTTTTTTTTTTAAAAATGAAAATATTTTTACTACTTCTATCGGAAATATAATAGGTGTCTATGGTTTCTGTTGCATTGCCTTAAATGCATCAAAATCACGGTAATTCTTTTTTATCATCACTCAAGGAAAATAGCAAGGGAATTTAAACTCTTAATATTTAGGCAAGATGGCAGTCAAACAAACCTTTTGTTCTGGAGTATAAGCAGTTCTATTTACTGTTAGGGGGAGCAGAGAACACTAATAACTGAGACAAATATGTACTGATCGCGGAGAGTTTTATCCTAATAGTCGCAATTGTGTCTGGTTTTGGGAAGCAGATCTGTAGCCTTGGCTTATGTTGAATAGGTCAGGGGATATCTTAGTTGGTTAGTCCACTTGACTATGTGCTGATAACATTGCTCAGGCATCTGTCATGTATTTTCAGTCATTTATCAATATCCAATAGATGACATACCTTTTTTTAATGGATTTGCATCTTTAGTTATAGTTATACTTGAGATGTTTATTATATCTGAGAATTGAAATTTTTAATTCAGGAACTCTGTATATTGTTGGAAGATTACTGGGAGCGGATGAATTTGAAGGTTCCTGTATACCTTTCTGGAGGTTTGTTTGTTACTCACATTTACGCTCAAATTTGTTTTCAAGATGCCTAGAACTTTAGCTCACTAGACTACTTGATTTTGGGCGTTGTTGCAATATTATGTCAGTAAGGTTATCAATACTGGTAGGAAATTTTATCCTAAAGTAAAGAAAATGAAAGTTCCAGTATTATAGAGGACAAGGTGTCCATAACCCCTTATACAGTAAGCATGACTGAAGCAGGTTGGGTCAATGATCCATGCTCAGTAAAGGGGTAGGAGTGTAGCTAGGAAACATTGACAGCTTTGGTCAAATCGTCAATCCACCTATCTGATTCTAAAATCTCTTATTCTTCTAAAACACCATTATCACAAATTTTTCATTAGAAAAATTCCTTGCTTGAAATCTTTTACTCTTTGAGTTTCTTGAGGCACATATCCTATTTGAGGGTGAAGTTATACCATGTACCTACAATCAATGCTAAACAACCGTACAAGCTATTTCAATCCAATGGGTCTGTTGGGTCTAGGGTATAAAATGAGTCTTGAGCAATTATTAATTTTTAAGCTTTTCATCCCAGATTTTTTAGGCCACTAACTTGACCATCATTACTATCACATTTATTACAGGAAACATCATATCTTGATACTAGATAAATCTATTACTACATGACTAAAATCAAGTTTCAATTGATTTAACACATAAGAAAAGTCAACCCAACATATATGAACACAAATAACCATTTTGTTACATAAGCGGAAGCAATCAATCAATTAAAGCCTTAATCCTATAAATGGGGTCGGTTACATGAACCAAAAGGGATTATTCCGTACAGCCATCGATTTCAATCTTCCTCCTCCATCCCTTACGACAAATGTCTCACTTTCATGCAAATCCATATACTTCATATCCTTTCTAACTCCTTCAAACCAAGTCATTTTTGGTCTCCCTCTCCCTCGTTTAACCCTTCCATGCTCCCACTCTTTGTACTGGTGCACCACAGGTCTCCGTCTCACATGCCCAAATCAACACAAATGATTCTTTCTTAATTTGTCTGCAATGCCCGCCACATCCACTTTCTTGCAAATAACTTTATTTCTTATTCTATCTCTTAGAGTGTTCCCGCACATCCTCCTTAACATGCATATTTCCATAACCTCCATCTTTTTAATGTGCTTCTTCTTAGACATCTAACATTCTGTACCATAGAGCAACACTTGCCTTATGGAAGCTATGTTACTAAGACTCGGGTACCCATGTCTGACACGGATACGTGTCTAAGACTCTAAGTGTCCGACCCGGCTATTTTTTGAAAATTTTTAATGATTTTGAACTAAAATGAAGTGTCCAAGTGTCTCATCCATGTTCGAGTTTCGAGGGTCCGACACGGGTACGTGAGGTGAAATGAAGAGTGACAGTCCTATAGAATTTCCCCTTCAACTGTAAGGGAATGCTTCGGTCACATAACACTCCCGTGGCTGCTCTCCGTGTAAGCCACCCAAATGGGCCTGACGGCCACGTCTTGATGAATGTCACCATTTTTGTGGATGATTGACCCAAGATATTTAAATGGTCAAGTTTTTTCCATCCAAACTCACCACATCATCGCTTGTCCCCCTCTGAGTCAGAAGCCTAGGAAATCAATATATTATTATATTTTATTGTTGTCTAAAATTATTGATAGGGTCCATGGGTCGGATCTGGACTGGGTTTAGGTATTAGAATATCCTACCCAAACCTTAACCTATTTTTAACATTTGGATGTAAATTCGACCCGAGTCCGACAGATCATAGATATTCCCCCCTAAAAAATGCGGCGGGGCTGACTAGGTCTGGGGTTCCTAGACTCTTCCATCCATATGTATGATTGCCTATTAGGGAAACCATTAGTTGATCGAAATAAACTCTTCGTATTTATATAGGGTGCATTTGTGCTTTGAAATGTTATCTTGCTTAATTAAGGGAAGAGAGAGAATGTAGTGCATTGATTTTCATTTATTTTAATGCTCGTTAGCTATTTCAGTCAGAAATTTAGAGTTTTCCGTAGCTTTTAGAGGTTTCCATCCAAAATGAGGCACCCGAGGCATTCCAAAGTTTGGAAAGTTATCTCAAATATTGACCAAAATGTGAGGACCTGCAATATGCTTATCTCGTTTAAGTTATAAGTCTGTTCTTTACTCCTCTTAATCTCTTAATGATATCAGCAGGACCTTGATTTGGCTTTATTTTTTCAGGTTTGACAATCCAAGCCAACACATATTCCAAGATGCTTACTAGCTGGACTAGTCAAAAGATGAAAGAGGCATGCACTGCACGCAATGTATTTGATTTCAAACATGGTATGGTCATTGAAATGTTTAAAATCAAAGTAAAATATCTGCAGAAATTTGAAATAATTAATAAACTTAATAACTTTTTGTGCTTTTTTGGTTTGCTAACTGTCAATGCAGTTCTACTCTTTTACATGCATATGATTTTAATATTTAATCTTGATGCTATTTGCTTTCCTAACATTAACACATGCTGTTTGTCTGAATTAATTGTCATTTGTTTTTTTTCTTCTTATTCCCTACTTAGTAGGAAGTGAGAGACTCTATTTAGTAAAGAGCCTTGTGTAAAGAGACTTTCACAGGATGTATGCAGACTGCGTAGATTTTAGGTCGTACAAGTTTTTCAGTGTAATTATTTCATCATTTATGAAATTCCCCAAAATTTGTAAAGGAGAATTTGCTCTGACAATAAGCAGACTACATTCTTATTCCATTGCTTATTGATGTTGGTACATCTATGGTTGATTTATCTACCAAGGCTCCATAGAAGCGAGCGTAAATCTGGAGACTAACTTTAACATAACAAATTTAAACCTTAGGTCAATATGCTTTCTGTAGTTGCATCTGTTTCTGTCTTTTCTTCGACGATCTCAAACTAGTGATGCATCCAGTGTGTATAATTTTCAATTATTGATGCAGATTCTACTGGACAAGTTTTCATGTGTAGCTGCTTGATGGTCTATATATCTTCTTCAACATTCAAAATAATCTCTTAATATATGGTCTTCTCATTTTTCCTGTCAATCTGTCAAGTAGTTTGGTTCTAGTGATTGTGCTGAATTTTTAATTTAATGCCAAAAACAGACCAATGCATCTTTGTTCTTTGCAGGCAATCATGCCCACTTTCTTTGTTGCTTAAGCATTGTTACTTGCAACCAGGTAAAGTGTTTGTGCTATTTTATATGTTACCTAGACATGGGCTGGATGTAAGGAAACTTATCTTTGTTTCCAAATGGTCATAAGTGTAACTCAAATTTGGAAAATTGGGACACTGCCATAAAATTTGAAAACAAATGCTTGGATACAACGTTAAATTCTGTGAAATGAGCTTCTTTCAAGATTATATTAAACTGCCAACGTATGAATTGATAGGGGCCCAAAACCCAAAATTTGGTCTGACCTCCACTAATTTTTATTACTCCTTTTATGTCCATTCATATGAATGTCACTTTAAGAATTGCGTCCCTATGACAGTCTGTGAAGAGAAAGTTAGGAGGGATTATCTTTAATTCTATCCATTGCCACAATCCGATGTATACCAGTCGAATAATTTCACCTGATTAAGCATCTCACTGTCGGCCTCACCTTTAGTTTTTGCGCATAGCAGCATGAAGTATTCTACTGTAAGGCTATGTATCAGGTTCCTTATCTTTGTTGTTTTTCCTTGGCACAGGTATGGCATTAAATATGCCGATCAAAGATTCAAATTAACATGACGTAGTGTTTGCTTGCAATTTTTAAGTTAAATTAGTCGTGAACTTTATTTTAACGAAATCGATAATCAATAGTAAAATTGGTTTCTGTCAAACAAACTCTCTTTCATGTTATTACTGAGGAAATAATCTTTTTTTTTTTTTTTTTTTTTTTTTTTGCAGTATTCAGTTTTAATCGTTCTCTGATACATGCTCCTGGTCCTTGTGTTCTCTTTGCAACGCCCGGGATGTTAAATAGTGGATTTTCACTTGATGTTTTCAAGGAGTGGGCAACTTCAGAAAATAACCTTGTTACTTTGCCCGGGTACTATCTCTCTTCATTTCTATATTTGAAGGTATAATGTGTTACAGTATTACGTATGAGATACTTCATGTGAAACTATGCCATGCTTGTGTGGTTATCTCAATGCTGTGCTAATCTATGTATATAATCGTTTTTACCATGTCTGAGCTACCTTAATCTGATTCCTGGTAATTGAAGGACTTTATTTTTGCTTGCATTTTCCATATTTTGCTCCTCTGCTTCTACTTTCCCTTATATTGTCTCTTCCGTGATTCCATTAGTCTAGGAGGCTAGGAGCCCTCTACCTCTACTAATAAATAAATATAAAATTTCCTAGGCTGTCAGAAATCGAGATGTGCTCATCACAAATTGTCCATCTAAGACCAGGAACATTCTGTCTCACTCTGCTTTGTCCTACTTCTAGGATGATTAGTAGAACCACCCACAAGCAATTGAGTTGTGGCAAATATCATCTTAAAAGTTAATATCCCTCTTAAGATTAAACATTAGCATTGGGAGGATCAACGTGGATACTATAGCTATAAAGCACCAACGAAAGTTAGGTTTCTTATAGTTAATTGGTAAGCAAGTTAGCTGTTTTTCTTTTTTAATTGGTGTCAGGGATTTTTAAGTTGTTTTTTCCTATCTACTTTCTTAGTTTTCTAGGTATGTAGGTTTATATTTCTACTCTTTCTAGAACTAGCATAGATGTTGCACTTTCTGCTTAAAATAATAGGTTAGTCAGTTGATTCCCTCAAGTTTTGTCAATATGGAAGAGGGAATTTGCATGAAGTGACTTTAAATAGACAAGATGGCTTAAACACTACGTTGGATAATTTTTGGAGCCTTGGCATTTTTATTAATATGCTATACACTTTTGTTGAACTTTAATGACGTTTTTGCTGTATTTGATTCAGGAAGTGTGTATCAGGAACTATAGGGCATAAAGTCTTGATGTCTAAAATACCTACAAAAATTTATTTGGACTCCAATACTCAGATTGACGTGCGGTGTGAGGTTATTGCACAACTATTTCTTACAGTTTCAAGTCTACTTTTTGTTTGTTCTCATTCAAAATTGGTGATTGTGGAGTAACTTGGGTCTTGTTTTTTTCAGCTGCATCGTGTCTCGCCAAGTTATCATAATTGTCTTTATAACTTCAACACCATTTAAATTACAATGATTTAAGCAAAATGCCGATATATCCATAATTGCTCTTTTATTGTTCAAATGTATTCCATATTACAGCTTTAGATGCATCATTTAATTTATGCACATTGAGAAAATAGCACTTCTAAAGTCAAGGGTTTGCAAAGACTGGGCATGTCTAGGCATACATACTTGCATTAGTTAAAGCTACATCAGTCACTGGTATGAATTACAAAGAACTTCTTGCAATGTATAACTCAAAAAAAAAAAAAAAAAAAAAAAAACCTTTGAAGTTTGTTGAATAATTTTCACTCTAATGCCTCATAACCCCATATCATTTTTTATTTAAATATAGAAATAAAGATAGTAAGATACCTCTGTGATTCAAGCAGCTTAAGTTCCTTGAGGTCTTGATCCTTCAAGCTTGCACGTTGCACCTTATAACCCCTCAGGCGTGCTTTAAGTACTTTGCTCAGGAGTAAATGGTGATCGGCTTTTGCTGTGACCCTTAAATGCTACAGTATACAGAGTATTTCTTAATATGCAAAAAGGCTTTCAAATTAATATCTTCAGGGAAATGCTTTCTAGGAGATAACTCAACATATATGTGGTTGAATAATACTTCTTCCGTTCTTTTTTAACGCAATCTGGCTTGGGGGGGGGGGGGGTTAAGAAATCAAGGGATGCACAATTTTGACGAGAGGAGGGATACAAAGGACCCATGTAATAATACCATACTATCTACTTTTCCAAAAAATTACAAGATACTCGTATCATCTAAAACTATGTACCATGATAACTGTCAAAACTTATGTGGGATGAACTGTATGAAGCATAAATCAATGCTCTAGTCCTCAGTGGTCGCTTTCATTGTTGGTATGTGAAGCTACTTGGCTTAGATATTGTACTATCTTGAACTTGTAAACTATGAATGGTCAATTTAATTCCTTGAACTTCTTGCAAATTGCAATGTTATTTCTGCAAAGCAATTACATTTCTTGAGTTCATCTGTTACCTTGCAATGCCCCTGTCTTACAATAACTGTCTTTGTTTGGAACTTATTATGCCTTCCTCTTCTGTATTGTATTTTCTTGTTTAACTGTTACTTAGCTGTTAGTCTGTTACTTACTTACCTTTTTCATTAGAAAGAAGAATTCTTCTCTGATCAAATTTTTATGCAATTATAGATTCATCAATTGGCAAATAGTGCTCACACGGACAGTAAAGGAATAATGGATCTTATGAAGTTTCTGTCACCAAAGCATGTGATCCTTGTTCATGGGGAAAAGCCTAAAATGGCAAAGCTAAGTGAAAGAATACAAGCTGAACTCGGAATTCCTTGTTATTATCCCGCAAATAATGATACAGTGAGCATTCCATCAACTCACTATGTCAAAGCTGATGCCTCTGCTTCATTTATCAACAGTACTTTATGTCCAAACTTCAGTTTCAAAAACAGTGCTTCGGAAGGTGAATCTGAGTTAGGTGGTGAAGATAAAACTACATCAAAGCTGGAGATATGTGATGCAAGAGTTTCTGAAGGACTTCTAATTATCGAAAATAATCAGAAAGCAAATGTTGTTCACCAAGATGATTGGTCTGGGAGCGCAGAAACATGATCTACTGTTGATTTGCAGATTTGGGACTGAATTTACATTCAGAATATCAGTCGAGATTCTTTGAACAAACTCTGCTTGCTTGTTCTGTCCATTCCTCTCGTGTTTTGGGGCCATGATTTGCAAGTTAAATGTGGAGCATCTTATCTGTAGTATTCACATTAATACCAGAGTTCCAAAGAGAAATGCCTCTATGTCTTTGTTCCAGAAGTCGAATCATTATTGTTTTTCTTGGCCCCGACCTATCTGTCTACTGAGTTTGAATTTGAAAGATCACCTAAAGATTGGAAGAAGCTTTGGCCATGGTTTTTAATTTAACTCTCAAATCATAACTTGCAGCGGGTTAAAGAAGCTGGGGTGGGTGAGCAGCCTGAGCATTTTACAAACAGAGAGAATTTTCCAAAGTGTAATTCGATTCTACTATGAGAATATCTGTTGATCTGTTCCTATAATATTAGTAACTTTTATCAGCAGAGGGCTGATGTGTTGCTGTTTTATAAACATGTTTTTACAGCAAGACAGTGGCACTCTTGCAGGATATCATGCTCAACTTGTAGACCAATTGTTTTAGTTAGAGGCTTAGAGCTGGTAGCTGAGTTAACATGACTTGACTTGACAGTGTGTATTGATTTAGGCATACAGAATGTAATAAATCAGAGTTGAGAATTTGAGATTTTTCGACATAACTAATCCAATCTATATATTGGCCGAGTTTGTATTGTTCAAATGTGATGATATGCCTGGCTTGTTTGATTTGAAATTTAGTGACATGAATGTTTTTACACAAAAAGAAGAAAAAAAAAAAAGAGAGAGAAAGTTCAAATTTAGCAACATTGAGGATATAGCCGTTGGTGGAGTTTGATTTTGAGTTTTAGGCATGCTGCATGGATTTGGCGGACAATTGTAGTGAAGGGGCCTCACTTGAATTATTATTGGAAGTCTTCACATCTTATTTATCTCTTCAAAAATAATTTTGGGATGGGGAAGAAGTAGCATTGGTGGGGAGGTCCCCATTTTCTTTTTTTATCAAATGAGGAGCTTTTCATCCAATGGATGTGACGCTCTAATGGCTTTTAGGGGCGTCTTTAGGCCTGTAGGTATATAATCTTATGGAAAAAACATGATCATATAACTTTTATGAGGGTTGCCAACAAGAGAGTACTTATTCTCTTCTTTCTTTCCTAAAAAAATTAAAACTCTTTAACATTTTAACTATAATTTGTCAGAAACAACCTTTTAAAGTGTCCACTTTATTTAAAACAACCTTTCTAATTTTTTTTTACAATTTCAGACCACATTATAAAAAATTTTTATCAAAGACAACCAAATGTTACTTTCCGGCGTTGACTCAATTTTTCCCGATTTTGACCACTAGTGTGCAACGCACATGAACTCGTATATTGCTTAATACACCAATTTTCCCTCTAATTCACTCGTACTAAAAGAGGGATGATAGAGAAGCATGGGTTTTAATAGTTGTTAAATGGAGGGAAAAGGGGTATATTAAGCAATATAGGAGGTCACGTGACTCGCACACTCGTGGTCAACATCGAGAAAAATAGAGTCAACGCCGGAAAGTAACATTTGGTTGTCTTTGATAAAAAAAAAAATTATAATGTGGTTTGAAATTGCAAAAAAAATAAATTAAAAGGTTGTTTTAAATAAAGTGGACACTATAAAGGGTTGTTTCTGACACATTTTTAATTTGGCTGGAAAGTAGATGTGAAGGGCTTTTCACTGAACAGTTGTAAGTCAATCTTCAACTAAATATAAGAAGTTTATGATTTATTGAAAATGAGTTGTATTTGTTATCGCTAATTTGTTACGCATCTGATCGGGGAAGGTTGACTGAGACTGGGCAAACTCGATCTCCCGATGCTTCAGAGGAGGTGGTTTCATGCAGTTTCCGCTACTTTAGGATTAAGCTTTCATGTCTCATACTCCGTAAATATACATTGTTATAGCCTATAAGGTCATTAGAAGAGAGAATTGCCCCATGATCATTGAATATGGAAAATAAAAGGTAATTTTATTGACAAACTCCATTCGTGCTAGTTCTAATGTTCAATTATTCAAAAAAAAACCTCAAAACTAAGGAAGAATAGAAGCACGATGTTTTCTTCCCTCTATACACAACAAATATGGGTAGCTTGATTCATCAAATGAGATAGTTGATAAACTCTGCAGCAGTGGCGACTGCACCTCCTGTAAGAGCATCTGTCACGATTTTGTCTTTGTTACCGTTGGTCACAGCAGATGCCAAAGCTCCAGTCAAAGCACCAGCAAGCATTGCGTTTTTCTGAGTATGTTTACAACAACAAAAACGAGTACATTCATTAGAAATCCAAAAGTAACATACTACGTACTTCAGTCCAAAGAGAAGAGTAACGCAGTTATCAGTATGAAAGATATATGATTATAGCAATAAGTAGTCTTAATCCGTGTCAATGCTTTTAGCACAAACACTAAAAAGAATGATGACAACCCTACCTTCCAAATTTAACAAACCAACAAACTGGTATACAATTGAATTCACTAGGGAGAAGTTGGGGGGACAACTACTAATTATGGTTTGTAAGCTTTTCGTCTAAGAGAGGATGTAAAACTTAGAAGTATCACACTCTGTCTAGGATGCTAATATTGTAGTTTTCAGGAAGTATGATACTCTCCCTCCCCTTCAAACTAAGCAAAAGAAGAAAAAGTAAATATTGTATCCATATTGGCAATTCTTTGACAAACATAAGTAACCACAAACAAATAAAGAGAAGGATGGCAAAGTGTATCAATTAATACAGATAAGCATTTGACAAACATACATAACCACGAACAAACAAATAAAGAGAAGGTTGGCAAAGAGTATCAATTACTACTGATAAGTGATAACCACGTGAAGTGACATGGTGAGTTGAGAAAACAAGACAATGTACAAACCTCACGTTAATGAAGCCAACAAAGAGAGAGAAATATTCCATAACTTCAAACACAGAACAAGAGAACACAAAAGAGGAGCTGGGAATCTCTCCAAAACTGTCATCCTCTGGTGCAATACATAAATTACATAACAGCAACCTAGCTCCTCAACTTTCAAATCCAAAGCCCAATGCGCAATGTTGATACAAGTATTACTTAAAATTTACAAACCCCTACCAGAGGTTTTAACAACCCAATCTACAATTAAAGTTAAATGTAATGATACCCAATATACCTTTTTAGATTAGGACGCATGATTTTTATAGTGAGAAATGTTCTAGAAGGTACAAAAAGCTACCTTACCAGTGTACGCAGGGATAGAATAACAAGAAGTTTCATGTTTCAGCTATCCTTGATACATGCACTATCAGGGTATCTTAGGTCTATGTTGTGCCTAATATGTATTATGTCAGATCAATAGAAAAATCCCAAGTCTGTATGCTATGACACAATGTAAAACAATACCCCTATATTGCAACTTATTTTGAAAAGACAGATTGATATGTGATATCCATGTCCTGCATTATATTACACACTGTTCTCCATCAAATCAGTAAATTGCACTTATAATAATTAAGTTATTAGTTGGTTGGAGGACGAAATTACCCAATCATTTGTTCCACGAGCCCTTCTTAGTCCATATTCCACCCCAGTATAAACACCAGCTACGGTTCCTGCAGAGTATAACAATAACGGTCAAGTTTGCAAAAAAACCAACACTTTATTATTATCATGACTGCAATATTTGTACTGTAGAACTAAAGATAGTACTTACCCCAGTATGCTCCTTCTTTGCACATCTTTTTCAGCTGCAAATATACAAGTTGGTTGAATTTTAGTATGAATTTTAAGGATATTACAAGTGGATAATTAACTTTGATTCTCACAACATTTAAAATAACAATGGTGTTACACTGCCAAATTATTAGATCTTTTGGCATGCATTATCCAAGACCAGCTATAATAATATGCACTTGTGAATTACACGGATTCCAACTTTCCAAAACTGTCAAATCATCCATATTTAAAATTGTTGCTACCCATATTTTTCAGCTATACTTTCCTTTTTAGTTTAATAATTTTGGAAATCTTGTTCAAAATATGTCAATAGAGACGCAAAATCAAGGGCTCTAGTATTCAAGCAACTAAAAAAGAGCACTGAGCTTACCGAATGTTCAAGATCCTTGCTTGAAAGACTTCCTGCCAAAAAAAAAAAAAAAGAAACGAAAAGGTTTTTTTAGCACATCACCAAGTGTGATTCAAATCTTTGCATAACCATCAAAAAATTGCAGATCATTACTACAGAGGGAGGTGACTTTAAAATAAATAACATCCCTGGTCCTAAATTAATAGTAATATATCAATGCGTGATGAATAACATGCAATTAAATCAACCCAAAATACAGAGTAGTAAATATATGTCAAAACCCATAAACACTCAAACTGTCATGATTACAATAATCACCAAAGTAAAAAACTAAGCTAAACTCAAATTTCACAGCAGCAAAAGTGAGAATCAATCATAAATGAAACACAAACTTTCGAAATCATCATCACCACCAAAAAAACAAATCAAAAAACAGTTCAAAGCAGCAAAAGTGCGAAATCCCGAATAACAGAACACAATAGAAGAAAGAACCACTCTTAGTATAGCGGTTATAGCACACTTTTTAGTTTAACATTACCAAGCATGTTACAATATTGGGAATAGCACAATCATCACACAATTGCATATTATTAGAACAGATGGATGCAGGTATAAAATACATTACACCCTTAATTCTGAATTTATAGTTGTTGATACTTGAAGGTATAATTTGAACAAGCAATGTGACAATTATTTCTCACAACCCCATTAATACACTAAACACAAACTGTCATTATTACCACAACTACCCAAAAATAAATAAAATCAGCAAAAGCAAGAAATTCATACAACAAAATAGTACGAACCAATCTTAGCAAATTCATTAACTAATGTTACCATGTGATTACAAATAAAGGTTATATCTAAAAGAATAGTACATAAATCATCTACTAGTACAAAGGGAGGAGGATCATTCCGGAATTGATGTCACATTGACAATGTAATTTGAACTAGTAATGCGACAACTAAACCCGAACCGAGGTACTATAAAATTGCATATGACTCAATACCCACTAATACACAAACTGTCAAAAATCAAAATTCACCACAATCACTAAAAATTTACAAAAAGAATGACAACCTTTCTTAGCAATGTGATAAGCATCTTCAGCAACAGCTCTAGTAGCAGCAACCTGAAAAATCAAAAACCCAGAAAAATAAATCAAAACATAGGAAATCCAACAAAAGGGTAAACAAAATGTAATCAATTAAAAATGAAATCAACCCAAAAAAAAAAAAAAAATTACAGTGCCAATCTTCAAGAAGCCATCAACAGTGCGGTCCAACAAAGGGTTACCAGTGTCGATAACAACGTCAACCTTGGCAAAGCTGCTTCTCGGCATAGCTATGGTTTGAAGGTTTCTCTCTCTAAGTGAGAATTTCTCTCTCTAGAATGTGTGTGGGAGTGAGAGAATTGCGGGAAATGGGAAGGTTGGGAAGTGGGGTGAGTGAAGAATGTGAGTGTTAAAAAAGGGTTGGAAAGATTGAAATGTGTGATGGAAATTTGGATGGTTTCTTCTTAAGAAAAGGTCAAATTACCCCTATCTTTGTCAGTAGGGTACCCTGTTTTTTTGGATTACAATTTCTTATCATTTAAATTAGATATTTTGATTTGATTTTAACAAATTATGATTTAGTTTGGTTTGCTTTTATTTGAATCACAAGGGTGGGTTTTAGAGTTAGCAAAATGCCAAAAGCTGACACGATACGATGATATGATACCTTCTTATGTTCTTTTTTACTTGACCTGTTTCTTTTATCACGCTTACTAATGCAAAACTTTAACGATTGATAACTTAAATTCTTCATAAGTAAAAATTATAAAAGTTATAAATTATGATAATACTTATTGAGACGAATCCAAAAAGATCATACATGAATATATTTTCTTTACATATTATTCACCAAAGACGGTCAAAGGAGGGGTGGTGAATAGTGTAAAAGTCAAAGCGGGTCAAGTAATAAAGAACGGAGGATTGACACTAGGTGTATATAAAAAAAAAAAAAAGAAAATTAGTATTCAGAATTATTGTTAAGGATTACTAAACCTAAATATATTTGAGTACAAATATGAGCACGGCATGACACATTTGCCAAGTCTAGTCATTTCGTTTAACAATTTATTTTATTTTTTTACTCCCTCGATTTCATAATAATCGCAACACTTTAATTGACACACACGTCAATACGCAACTTTATCTATTAATACTTGTAATTATATATCTATACTATATATTAAAAGACGGTGCCACGTGGCACTCTTCAAAGTATGTGCGCCTATGTCACAATACCATTTCATCATCCAACGTATATGCGCAACGTAAGCTAGCCACTTTATTTAACAAAATAAAATATGTTTTCAACAAGATTCGAGTTTCACATAATATTATAACAAGTAATACTTTTACCATCTCAACCAACTATTATTAACACTTCAAGTTTCACATAATATTATAATATTTCTTTCATTTATTAAGTAAATTAGAGGTAATATAATTCATTTATTTTTCACAAGATTAAATTATAAATACATATGGAAAAAAAAAAGTGACATCCAAGGCAATGCCCGAACCACTACACACACTAACTATACAAATAGTCCAACATAATTGTTAAATTAAAGCAAAGAAGTATACAAGTTAACAATGCGGGGCATCACCCGGAATACACTAGTTAATACTATATTACTATCTCCGTCCCCGAATGATAGTCACTTTTTCCATTTTTGGACACCCAAAATGTTAGTCACATTTCACAATTTTAGGTCTCATACAATAACACAAAATGACCTATATACCCTCATTTTTTTGGCTTTATTATATGTGCTTCCCAAAATACCCTCATATTTGCCTTTGTACTTGTGCCTTAATTGAATGAGTTGTCTCCCTTTTTAATGACAATCAGTTTCTCTCTCTTCCTTTTGTTTTGCAAATGATTGGGTTTAAGTTCCCATGTATTTTATTTATTTCTTCTTAATTCCCGTAATTTTCATCCAAAAGTGACTATCATTCGGGGACGGAGGGAGTATTATGAAATATAAAGACTAATCAAAATACGTTTTACATGGCAACATATATATTGTTATACACTCCCTTCATTTTTAAATACTTGCTTCATTTTGACATGCGCGGAGTTTTAGGAGAATTTAGAGAAAGTAATAAAATATGGTAGTAGTGGGGTAGGTGAAAGAATAAAAAATTATAAAAAGCAAACTAGTGAAGAGAATTGGAGGTGAGAGAAAAAAAAAACCCTAGCCTCCTTTTCTCTCTTCTCTCTCCTAAACCTAGTCTCCATTGTTAATTTTAAGGGGCTTCCATTGGATTTCACCGGTGGAAAGCCCCAATCTTTATTTTCTTTTAAGCTTTTTAATTTGTTTTAGGTCACAATAATGTCTCCCTCGAAAGAAAGGGTTTATCTCCTTCGAAACATAAGGTTTTTTCGATCTCCTTCGAAAGACAAGGTTTTTCGTACTCCTTCGAAAGACAAGGTTTTATTTGTGCTTAATTTTATCTCCGGTTGTGCGAGGCTACTATTGATTGTGGCTCGGATTTGGGTTACGGAATCAACACAAGAATTTACTTTCTCACAAAATTGCGAAGCGACGACGGATCCTCTCAAAAAGTTGTATGAGACAACGAATCGAGAATATGTCGAATTGTTATATTTATGTATTTGGATTCTTAGCCCTTCCCCGATTAATTCTTGTTTGAATTTGTTAAATTCGTTTTCATTATCGTTCATTGTCAATTGTAGATGTCGTATGGCTTACATTAATGAAATTAAGTGTCCTTTTAGGACTTTTTTCAAAAAAAAAAAAAAAAAGAATTGGAGGTGAGAGAATATGAAATTAATAAAATATGGTTTAAGTTGGGTCCACTGGATGAGAGAAATGAATTAAATATTGTAAAAATTTAACAAATAAGAAAAGGGAGCAACTATTTAAAAACGGCCGAAAAAAAGGAAAGTGGAACAAGTATTTTAAAACGGAGGAAGTATGGGTAAAAAGTAGGAAAAATTGACAGGAATATTATGACCTTTGCTCCGTCCGCTCAAAATAAAACGACCTTTTGAAATTCCCCCCAATAAAATGACTTTTTACCCTTATCTTCTTAAAGTAGAACATCTTCAAGTGGTAACCGGATTTTGTAGGTAGAATGGTTACGTGGCAATGACCGTTGGGGTTTTTAAATACTCCTCCTTTTATTTAACCCAGCTCCCCTGTTCCACTCTTTTCTTCTCCCCTGTTCCACTCTTTTCTTTCATTTTCCTCCCTCTTTTTTTTTTAATTTTAATTTTGTGGCCTCCCATTTTATAAATGGTGTCATGTCTTTAAGAAGGCAATCATCTAATGCATCTCTGTCATCTTCTAACTCAAGAAGGGATACTCGTCCAAAAAATTCGGTGCAATTGCGGTAGAGATGCTATGGTTAGAACAGTGAGACAATGGCCTAATTTGGGGTGCAAATTCTATGGATGTCCCTTGTGGCCAGTAAGTGTGTTTGTATTTTGCATTTGAATCTAATTTGTACGTATTGTATTTATCTAATGAATTTGTTGTTGTTTGTAGGAAACCCATTGCGATACGTTCAAGTGGGTCAATGACAACAATGAGGTAGAAGATTTCCAAATGAAGATGTCAGAAAAAGACACAATTACATTGGAATTGGAGTATGAGCAAAAATTAAGAGATGATAAAATTAAGAAACTACAATTGAAGAAGGAGAATTTGGAGGAAGATGTACAAGAGATGAAGAGTGAAATATCATGTATCCGAGTTGAGCTAATGAAGGCTTGTAGAAGTGAAAAAAATTTGGTTATAGTGCTTGTATTTTCATGGATCTTCTTTGTTGCAACAATCTTGTCTGTCAAGTACTTGGTGTAATTAACAAGCTTTAACTTGCCATTTATGTAGTAATTATGGGCTGTATTTGAAGAATACATTGTCTAAATAATGACATGTGTTATTTTATTAGCTAAATATCAAACAAGATAATTAAGCAATTATAGCAAGTGCAAGTACATGTCATATATAAACATTTTTCAGTGAGTTCCAATTGTTTGGACTAGGTACACATGATTAGACATGATTAGTAGAAGTTTGTCTTGACCGAGTTCCAATGCAGAGGCTTGTAGGACCCTGCAGCACTGGAGTTCCATCTGAGCTGAAAACCACTGCAACTCCAACAGGAACCTGTACACAAAAGCAAATGGTTATAGCTTTCAAATAAAACACATCCAAACAAAAATAGACAATGAGCATGGGAGATATACCTTAGTCCTGCCTCTTCCCCTCCCTCTTCCTCTAGCAGCAGAAGTTGCACCCCTGCTTTCCCCTGCCCCTCTCCCTGCAGCTGATCTACCCCTCCCTGAACCTGTCCCTACGGCAATTGCACCCCTCCCTCTTCCTCTACTTGCTGCAGTAGTAGTTGAGATAGATGCTCTGACATTAACCTGGCTAACAACTCTTGCACCCTGGCCACCTAAAATGATCTTCCTACCTCTTCCAAGCTAAGAAGGTTGTGTTGTGGTTGTGTGATGGTGTGTTGATGGTTGTGCACTTGTAACTGGATGGCCGGGAGTGGATGAGGAAGCCATCTGTGATCCTGCCATGGTCTGAGAAGTAGTTGCATCATTTCTTGGCCTTCCCCTCCCCCTTTTTGGAACAGGTTCTGGAGGCACATAAGACCCTTTATCTGGACAACTCCTTTTGTTATGTCCTTTCACATGACAAACTGAGCATGTCATTTCAATCCCACTTCTCTGTAAAGAACCAGGTTTTTTTTGGGTTTTCCTCAGGGTGTTTTATCCTGTTCTTTCTTGGTCTCCCGAGACCAATCTTTATTGGGGGAGGATCTAGGTTACAGGGTACCTTTGGCCAGTACCTTTCACCTTCACAAGGTGGAATAGAACCACCATATGCTAGGAAATAGGTCTCAACTTTGTAGCACTGATCAACATAAGCTTCTGGCACTCTGTTTAGATAAAATATACAGGCTATGGCATGACAACAAGGCAACCCTACCATATTCCACTTCTTACAGGAACAAGACCTAGTTTCTAAGTTAACAATTAGTTGGTCTAAGTTATGTCTAACATTGAATAGAATTTCAGAAGAAGGGAGGACATCATAATATGCAGCCTTTGCCTTTTCTTTCTCTAACTTTGCTTGGATTCTAGGGCATAGAACAGACTTACACTTTTCCATTTCTTTTTTTTTTGTTCACTAATCTCTGCATAAGGGCAACCCTAATATCTTCTAGCATATAAATTAAGTGCTTTGTTCTAGCATTAATTATGTATGCATTGAAGGTTTCAGCCATGTTATTAGTTATGGCATCAGTTTTCACAGAGGTGGACATGAAAGCTCTACAGAAGCAGTTAAGGTTATACCTCTTGAAAGCAAGTGCTGCCTCAGGGTTTAATTCAGTCAATTCTTCCAAAGCTTCATTATAGGCAGCCTCATTGTAGGTCTTGGCAATCTTCCAGA